CTGCAGCCAGGTGACTTGCACTGAGGAGCGGCGAAGTGCGCGCCAACATCCGGACAGGTTTCCCTTCTCACCGCCGCAGTTCGACCTGAGGTCCGAGTCCAAAACCTCTGCAGAACCGGGTCAGATGAAAACGCTCCCTGATTCAGATTATTGCGTTCAGAAACGCCCAGCAGCACCAGAACTTTTGGTTCTGGCCGTTCAGAGTCCAATCCCCTGGTTTCAGTAGAAAAACATAGAAAACAGCAGGTTTCATGTCAGAACCAATACAAACACAGAAGAAACTATTGAAGTTGTGCTTTTAGACTCAGACAGCAAAGAACTCTGGGAATTGTAGTGCAAGGCAGCAGGTGGCGACGGCGTTCCCTGATTGGTTGGATTGTCGTAAGATGGCGGCCGCCACCGTGTGAGGGAACCGGAAGACCGATTATGAAAGACTGGGCGTCCCCCACGCAGACAGACTGGCGGCAGCCGTCCAATCAGCTTCGCTATCTCTCCTCTTCCTCAGGACTCGCAGGTCAGAGGTCAGTGACTTTGTTCTCCACCAGGGCGGCGACCTGCTGCAGCCGATAAGCCAGCTGCATCTTCTGACCTGACGTGTCCTCCTCCAGGGACATGATGACCTGGAGACAGGGAGGACAGTGGGACAGGCAGACAGGTTTGTACCTGTGCAGGTGAGAGGTCACATGATGTGAGGGGGCGGAGTTACCTGGTCGTAATATTTGTTGATGTATTTGTAGAGTTCATGAAGAGCAACGAGGCTGTTCATCTCTGAGGCGAAGCTCTGCAGGGAGACAGGAGGAGTGAGACAGGAGGAGAGACAGCTGGTTCTGGTTCTGGTTCTGGTTCCGTTTACCCCGGACAGCTCCGTCAGAGTGGAGTTCATCTCCTGGTAGCATCCTGATGCGGCGCTGTGGATGTCACTGTAGTACCTGAAGAGCGAGACAGAGAGAGACAGGTACTGAGCAGAACCAGGCTGGACCGGAACTGGAACCAGACTGGACCGGAACCAGAACCAGACC